TATAACTATAATTGTTATAAATTATTATATAAATGAAAGGTTTAATTCATAAAAGATTCTTTTCAAATTTTGTAAAAGGGGTCATGAATTGAGAAATCCAATTTCCCTTAATCTTGTGACGTATAAGAGCTCATTGTACTATAAAAACATCCTGGGAGTTTCAGAACTCAGAACTTTCTCTTTAGTCTAAAAACGGTTTATATTGAAGCCAATCTGCCAAAACGACAGGTTGTTGAATGTGCCGCTCTATGATGTAATATTGTGGCTAAACCCCGCCTCCGCAGAAGATCAACGCCTGCTTCTACATCACTTCCTGTTTAGCTCCGCCCACCGATTCTACATCACTGCCTGTTTAGCTCCGCCCACCAATTCACGCATGTAGTGTAAATAACGAGAGAGGCACACGCAGGGCTACACAGAAACCAAACGATAAAGATGCTCCAAAGACAACAAGACGCTGTTCAGTGCCACCACCGATTCTACAGCACTGCCTGTTTAGCTCCGCCCACCAATTCACGCATGTAGTGTAAATAACGAGAGAGGCACACGCAGGGCTACACAGAAACCAAACGATAAAGATGCTCCAAAGACAACAAGACGCTGTTCAGTGCCAAGCTGTGGAAACAGTCTTTGCATCGCCTTCCTTCTGATCCCAACATTAAAGGGGTCATATGATGCGATTTCAAGTTTTCCTTTCTCTTTGGAGTGTTACAAGCTCTTGGTGCATAAAGAAGATGTTTATAATGGGTTTTCATGTTTTAGTCTCGTGGCTGGGGCGTAACATTTCCGTCTCACGCTTGAGGTATTCGGCTAATCATAACGCACTGGATAGCTGGCCAATCACAGCACACCTCGCTTTTCAGACCGATGAGCTTTGTAAAAATCGACGCGTTTCAGAAAGGCGGGGCATAGAGGAGAAACAATAATGTACAGTATGTGGAAAATAATGTGTTTTTTTAACCTTAAACCACAAACACATTTCATTACACCAAATACACAAAATACTGTTCTTTTTAGCAGCATCATATGACCCCTTTAAGAAAGAGTGGATGAACTTCCAGATCGCTTCAATATGAACCTCGTCATTTGTTCGCTTCGTTTTTAACGTGGATTAATTTAAAAAAAAAAAAAAGAAACATCTGAAAAATTTTATATTTTTGTTGAATAAATTTTTTAAAATAAAAATAATAACTTTATTTTACACATTTAATTTTAGAGTGAGCAAGCTTCTAAATAAAAATGAAGTAAAAGCTGTCCTTAAAATAAAAAAATATTTTCAGAAAATAGAGAAAAATAAAGAGATTTATAAAACAAAATGCATACATAAGAGAATAAAATAAAGTAAAAGATAACCTAAAAATATTTTTTAAAATGTTTGTCATGTTTAGAAGTTTAAAAGCGGGAAATTGATTTAAAGTTCACTTTTTTTTTTATTGACTTAAAGGTGGCTTAGTGTTAGTTAGAAAAACAACTAATGGTTTCTATGTATTTGAGAATATATTTTATTCAGTACATGAAGGCATGAAATGTTAGGGTGAGGTGGACATGAAATGTCGTGGCACATCGTGGCACGTTCCTCACGCTCCGAGCGTTTGGGAGTCTCTTCTAGAGACGGGCGGCGAGGTACAGCATGTCCTTTAGTGCAGACAGCAATGCATGCTGGGAAACTGCAGAGCTAGTGTCTCACAGTGGAGCGGGAGGGAGAAGGAGATGCTGGAGAATGCTGTGTCACTGGTGCCGCTGCGGATCCTCTCTCTCTCTCTCTCTCTGTGTGTCAGTGTCTCGCCCGTCGTGACTGAAGCGCACTGATGCACCCCCCCCACTGCAGCCATGCAGCATCGCAGCACTTCAACAGACAAAACTCACAGTGAAGGATACATTAACCTGATGAGCACGTGATTCATGTTGCTGGATTTGTTTTATTATGTATGTTTCCTTTTATGTGTAGAGCAATTGTGTGCTAGTGACGGGAATCTTAAGTTGGACGATAAAGATATAGTTCTAAAAATCGTTCTCAATATTAAAGAATAGCAGAGTCCACACCACAACTATAACGATAAAGACAAAGAGAAACGATATCGTTGGAATCACTTTCAAAACGATTGAGGAAATAATCGACAGATTAATTTATCTAAATACTAAATAAAATATTAATATTAAAAACTGATTTATGTGTATGTGTGTGTGTGTATATATATATATATATATATATATATATATATACACATACTTTTTTAAAATAAAAAATATATAAATAGTTTATATGTATATATTTTATTTAATTTGTTAAAGTTTTAGTAATTTTGTTGCATTTGTCATTTTTAGTAGGCTTTGTTATTTTTAATGTCTATGTAGTTTTTATTAATTTTTATTTTGAGTCCGTTTTTATTTTTATATTTTTTTGTTTTTATTTTATTAGTTAAATATTTTATTTAATATATTAAGACATGTGGACGTGGAATGAGTAGGAATCAGTCCCATTTTAGTATCATTACTAATAGTTTTATTAATATTTTGAATCAGTTTTTATATTTATATTTTGTTTTAGTTTCAGTTTGAATGATTTAGTAATTTTGTTTTTTTTTGTCCTTTTTAGTAGGCTACATAGTCTATTAATATTTATTTCAGTTCCAGTTTTATTTTAGTACATCAAGGTAAATTAAATTAAGATGAGAAATGTTGCCATGGCAACTAGCTGAAATATATATTTTTAAATGTTATTTTATTTCAGTTAACATTTATTTTATTTCAAGTAACAAAAATGTTTTTTAATGGTTTTAATATCAGTTTTGGTTAACTATAATAGCCCTGTTCTGCACTGTGGCACGTCCGAGGAACGGCAGCAGTGAGCATGATGCAATAGAAAGCTGTGTTTATTGTCTTTATTTCCCGTCTTCAGACCGGAAATGGTCTGGGTGTTTTGGCTCCAGTGTGTTTTGTGCGCATGGATGCAGTGATATGAGGTTGCAGGCTGGCACGGATGAGATCTCGGTGAAGGGTGAACGCAGGAATAAAGAGAGAGAGTGAGAGCGTGAGGGGGATGCAGTGCACAAGGGCGGAGCTTAGCATCAGGCAATACCCCGTCTGATTCTCTCTCTCTCTCCATCTCTGATCTCTGTGCGCTGACGCCGGTGAACACATCTGTCCGTCTCTCTCTCCGCTGCTCTCCTGTCCTGTCTTCACCAGCGCCTCCGTCTTTCTTCTGGAATATTCTGAGCCACAGGAAGCGCAGGGAATTGTGCGTCTGATCGGTGTGTGTGTGTGTGTGTGTGTGTGTGAGGTGGCGAAACACACGCTGGTCTCGGCCGAGGGAAGGATGGTTTTGCCGGATGGTTTTGCGGCGGTTCTCATCCGAGTGCGTGTCTCCCGGGCAACCGCGCCATGAGCCGGACCAACCGCGTCCCCTGCTCAATGCTCAACTGCTTCGTAAGTGTGTGTGTGTGTGTGTGTGTGTGTGAGCGCTGCAGCTGTGGTGAAGTACTTGACGGCACGTGACTGTACAGATGTGTGTGTGTGTGTGTGTGTGGATCACACAAGTGCTGTTTCTACTGAGAAAGCGAGAGTGAGATGGTGTTTCGTCATAAAGAGAGGCTCGACTGGGAATATTTGTGACCCTGGAGCACAAAAGCAGCCTTAAGTCGCTGGGGTATATTTGTAGCAATAGCCAAAATAAATATTGTATGGGTCAAAATTATCGATTTGTTTTTTTATTGATTTTTTTTTAAGTAAAGATCATGTTCCATGAAGATATTTTGTACATTTCCTACTGTAAATATATCAAAACTTAATTTTTGATTAGTAATATGCATTGCTAAGAACTTAATTTGGACAACTTTAAAGATGATTTTCTCAATATTTTGATTTTTTTGCACCCTCAGATTCCAGATTTTCAAATAGTTGTATCTCAGCCAAATATTGTCCTATCCTAACAAACCATACATCAATGGAAAGCTTATTTATTCAGGTTTCAGATGATGTATAAATCTCAATTTTGAAAAATGGACACTTATGACTGGTTTTGCGGTCCAGGGTCACATTTGAGCAAACGGCAGGATCTTTGATGGACAGAGAGAGAAGTTCAGAAGAGTGTCAGATTAGGAATATTTAGAGGTCTTTCGTTTTTTGTTTTTTTTTATAGATTGTGTTTATTCTGAAAGTTTGAAATGTTTGGTGGTATTATAATAACAGAAAGTTATTGTTAATATTTAGTATGATTGATTATATTATATTATATAGTACTTAATAACAATAATAAGAATTATTGTTATTATTATTATTATGTAGCATGATATTATACTAAATAATAAAAACATCGGTAAGCTTAATAAGAAAATAAGAATTTTTTAAATTATAATATTATATTATAATATTATAATATGCTTATTATTATTATTGTTTATTATTATAATTTTAGTAAATAATAGTAATGCTATTAAATAAGTATATTAAATAATTATTTTATTGTTATAATATTGTATTGTTATATTATAATAGTATAAAATTATACTAAAAAAATACAATAATAATAATAAACATAATTATTATTATTGTTGTTGTTATTATTATATGGCATATTATACAAAATGATGTTTAAAAACAACAATAAGCATAAGAATATAGAAAGAAAAATAAGAAATATAATGAAAATAAATTATTTATAAATTGAATATTATAATAGTATAATATTATGCTTATTATTATAATAATAATAATTTATTTATTATTAGTTGTACTATAGTAGCATAATATTGTAGTAAATAATAATAATGCTATTAAGTAAAAAAATCGAAAATATAATATTATTTTTTATAATATTATATTATTCTTATAATCATTGTTATATTATAATATAAAATTTTGCAAAATAATTACAATAATAATAATAACAATGATTATTATTATATAGCATAACACAAAAAAAATTATGAAAACTAAGCATACTAATATAAATAGAAAATGTAATGAAAATAAATTATTAAAAATTTTATATTATAACAGTATAATATTATGATTATTATAATTACTATATTATATTTTATTATTATTGTTTATTATTATTATGTTGTTATATTATATTAGTATAATATTTTGATTATTAAAGTATAAGTGTAATAAGTATAAGAAGGAAAATATTATGTGATTGTTATTTATTATTTAGTATAATAGTCATCATAATGGCAACAATGTTATTAATAATAATAATGGGGTATAGTATTGTATTAGTTTTTGGTTTTTTATTCTCATATTTTATAAACTATTACAAAATAACTATAAAAATAATATAAATAACTATAAAAGTAACATAATGGGTTTTTAGTATGTAAATGCTACAGTAAAATGACACCAAGTAAAGCAATAAGGCCAAGCAAAAGGTCACGTGTATTATTTTTTTTCTATGTTTAAGGAGTGTTATTGGCACATAAAGTGAACGTCAATAGTCAATATAATAAAAGATGCTTTGTAAACGATTAAATTGATTTAATAATCACAGTAATCATTTATTCCACCATGTAATATAGTTGATTAGTCTAATGCAGGCTGATAATGGACGCATGAAGGAACTTTTGCATTAGTATAGAATCAGGCTGATGTGCTTTAATGTATCAGCATGTAAAGAGGATCTGGCTGTGGTTTGTCTGTCGGCATTGATGCGTGGTGATGCTGAGATCTCGTGCAGATCGTGTTTGATTGAAGATGAGCTGATCTTCATCATCATGCATGAGCTCAGCCTCACATACGGCCGTGTTTCATGCGAGTTCTCGTCAGCGGTGGGCCCTCGTGATCTTTTCAAATATTCCTGCTCCTGAAATATTCATTAGCAGCGAGAGAAAGCAAGCGACTCCCATCCCACCGGAGCATTTGTTCTTCATCTCTCTTCCTCCTCACGCATCTGTTCTCCTCTCCTCTCTGAGCTTTCATAGATTGTTGTAATTAGCGATGCACAGAAATTTCGAAATTATCGAAATAATTTTTTTTGCCAAAATCTTCAATAAAGGAGCGCTCAGTCTTCATTTTGATGAGCTGAGATCTTTTAGTCTGTGCTGTTTTCTGTTGATGCGTGAATAAAACCTCACTAAGCATTAGTGGTCGACCGATACGTTTTTTTTTTTTACAGCCGATACCGATGCCGATATCTTGGAAAGCAGGGTGGCCGATATAAAGCCGATATAATTTTATTTTAATTCATATTTAAGAAATTTGAAATCATTTGAAAATAGATTAAAAAATAAACGTGTAAAATAAACATACTTATACTCTAGGAGACATAGTATTTTTCACAAATAAATAAATATTTAATAAAAATATAATTAAAAAGGAAGTAAACTCCTGTCCGTATTAAATTCGCACAGACCATAGGACCGACCGTCACAGAACAATGCGATCATGCAGGTCACATGCACACTTCACAAGATCTCAACTAGATTCGACTAAGTCGGTATTTGAAAAATGGCAGATATCGGCCGATATATCGGCCTTGGCGATATATCGGTCGACCACTACTAAGCATTATTTGTGGCTCATCTGAAATCCATAAACTTTGATTCTTTTGATATCAAACAGTGTTTTGAATGCGGAAAGACATCAATAAAACAGCTTGTAAACATTGTCACGAAACATTTACATCAGGAAAGCCATTCAATGACCATAAACTAGTTAGTCAGCTATAGCTAAAATATCTTTTGAGAGGAGCATTTTGATAAATATATGCACTATATTACATATTCATTATATTTTTACTCAACCTGTTGTCTTGATTATTTAGTTTAATTTCCAGTAAAAATAACTTTTTGTATTTTATAAACTATTTTAAAATTATGACTTTTATAACTATAAAATAATACATGCGATGGGTGTTTAGTATATAAAGCATTTTATTTGTCAAATTTCCATCAAAAATGACAATTATAAAATTGTTTTGGAAACTATTATAAAATAACTATACAAATAAAAAATTACATATGTGATTGGTATTTAGTATATAAATATTTTTTTGTCAAATTTACAGCAAAAATAACTATTATAAATTAAACTGTTATAAAATAACTATAAAAATAACATAACTATAAAAACAACATGTGATAAGTGTTTAATATATAACGCATTTTATTACATATGTTTAACTATTACATATGTTTGAATAAATCTGTCATGAAAAGAAGTTTTTATTACATCCGCTGTTACATTTTACAACAATTCAACAATTACATTTTTCAACAATTACATTAATTGTTCATATTACATGAACATAATTATATCATTAAAAAGTTGATATAAAGACGGCTTTATATGCAATTTAAATGTTTATATACAACTTATATATTTTATTTTATTTGAGTGTTGATTTATTAAATACATTTGTTTAATTGATTATAAAAAAAAAAAAATTTTTGGTTTTGGTTTTCAGCTAAATTAAAATTAAAATAAAATAAAAAAAATAATTTAAATTCCATAAAAAATCAATTAAATAATTATGTAAATGATTAATTTCACATTGTATTTGTATTATTAATTATACACAATAATAATAATAATAATAATTGGTAATTAGTAATAATTAAATAATTAGTAAATAATAATAAACCAGAGACGGAATTCCTTTGGTATACGTGGAAACGAGACTGATTGATGGAAGAGTCTGGATGCATTTTAATCTGAATCGCTGTAATAATTTCCAGTCAATCTAACTCATGCGCTTCCCACTGGATTACAGTAGATGATTATTGTTTTAATGAATTAAAGCAATAGCTGTCCCATCCCAAAACCTCTGAATGATTTAATTCATGTTCCCGTCCTCCTGTGGCCGACCTGAAATGCAACAGAGAACTAGAGCTGTTTTAGTATTTAGTCGTGTTTTAGTATTATTTATATACTGATGTAGTTTTTCTTCATATTTTGAATTAGCCAAATGATATATATTTTCGTCATTCATACTTTAAAATTTATTTTAGCTTAATTTTTAGTCATTTTCTTGTGCATTTGCTTTTATTATTTTATATACATTTCTAATTAGTTTTGTTCATTTTTAAAAAAAAATTGTCATATTTTTATTTTATTTCAGCCTTATTTCTTTTACCATTTTTTGTTCTGCTTATGTGCTTTTGTAATTTTTATTATTTTTCTATAAAGCTTTGTTTTATTTTTATTTTAGTTTTAGTCATTTTGTTATGTGCTTTTGCATTTCGAATTTTTTCTTCTTACGTTTTAAAAAAAATAAGTTGTTAAAAAATAAATATGTAAATAAAATATTTAGCATATTTCTTTTCACCTTTATTATTTTTAGTATTATTTATATGCTTAAATATTTATAATATTAATAATAATGATGATGATAATTATTATTATTATTATTATTATAGTTGTTATTATTTTATTAATACATTTTTTATTTTCAATTTATTGTATTTTTTAAAATTTTAATTTTAGTA